ATTTTGACCAACTTATCACAATTGATATTAATAATTATAAAAACTTTGTTTTAAAGTTAACTACATAAAAAATTTTATATCTCTAGAATTGTTAAGTAGCTAACGTCTATAATAAGGTACAAACACAAAAAATTCACATAAATGTTCACCCATTATTTTTAATGGGACTCTATACACAACAGTTGAAGAACTCCCTTTCTTCTGCTTAAAGATTTGGAGGAAATTAAGGAGGAGAAAGGACGAGAGGAATTTGATCCATGTTTTCATCACCTTGCCTTTAGCAGATGAAAGGCAATTTTTTGTGCACTTGGTCTGTTGGTTACCTAACACTAACCACCAATCCTTTTTGAGTTTTAAAAACAGACACTGCCTAATTGCTAACGTAACATTATCTCAAGAAAGAGATATCTATGTGTATATATAAAAACAAACTCTTATTTTAGAAATCTAAATAAATTAATCTTAGTTGGTTTGCTCCATTGTTTTAAGATCAGTGATTCACAGGATCAAATATTGAGACGAAAATACATCAGCCATTGATTTAAAAACAACATTTTTATATAATTTTTATATATTATTAAGTAAATAAATATATTTAATATTATAAATATCAAATAAATAAAAAAATAATTATTTAAATAAAAAGTTATTTTCAAATCATTTTTTAAAAATAAACTTGATGTAACAAAAATGATAACAAGCCCAGCAGACATGTAGCCAGCCCATACATATTATAAAAATGGGCTACATATCGGGTCCTGGTCAGCTTCTGTTACCCAATCGAGAATTACCCCAAATATTCAGCCAGCCCATACATAGCTTATCTCAATGGATAGACTACATGTTGGGTCCGGTCCGGCTCAGACCCAAATTAGAATGACCGAAGGGAGGCTTCTCAATTTCCGTTTCCTTTTTTTCCGTATAATCATATTATAAATAAATTTTTAAATTAAAAAATTAATTATATAATAATATATCATATTATAAATAAATTTTTAAATTAAAAAATTAATTATATAATAATATATCATATTATAAATAAATTTTAAAATAAAAAATTAAATATATAATGCTAAACAATTTACCTTGTGCAAATAATATTGTATGCATAACTTTTACCTATGAAAAATGTCT